CGTCATTAGCGTCAAAAACTGCACTTAAGGAGACAGATACTTTAAACTTATCTGGGATGGAAAATCTGTTTCAAATCTTTTAAGTCGATTGACCGTCACATATTCAGGCCGCTGGTTCTTTCTCAGGTTGTTTTAAATCTAGATTTTTCTTAGCGACGAATTACTATATTATTTTTTTCCATTTTAACTGTTATTTGTGATCAAATGAAAAGATATATTAAGAAGAATGGTTTATAGTATGATTGCTTTATCGAGATTAAAAAAAAATAAGCTTTTTTGTTCAACTTTGACGAATTAGTAAAGCAATGGACGTTATTATAATGCAATACAAGTAATAATAATTAGTTGATCTCGTCATTCCACTAGCACTATTACGAACGGCTTTACCACTACATTCTGGATACATTCGATTATCAAGGCTAATCATCTTGTTATCGACAGTTAATGTTACACTAAAAGGTTGACCTGCTAAATATATTACTGTTGTATATCCAGTTGGTTTAACTACCTGCATTTCAATCTCCTTTTCTGAACCACATTGACCAGCTAATGGAGCGGATAGTTTGAGATGATTTGCATTCTGTTCATTAATTTTCACATTTCCATTTAGACAACAACATAGCTGTTGATTGCATCTGTTATCTGTTTTAAATGTGCCAATCCATGGTAAAGACTTTTGAGCATGAATAGAAACAAATACAACTATTAATAGCCACACTGATAACATTTTTGTCAGATAATCGTCTAAGGACAGAACAGCCAAACGATACTTTCATTGAAAATATCAATAACAACTTATGCTTACCGTTTTCACGGAAAAAATTTTCTTCCAAAACTTTTATTGGTACGTGTATATGAAAATGAATGCGATTTATACATTTACTTTATTATATAGATAATTTCACATTCAATAAGAGAGAAAGCGAATCAATATTAGAGTCAATAAACACGTTCTGTGAGATCTGTGAAAGTCAAGACAAAATCAATATTTTCATACTTCGAGTTGAAAATCGAAGATATCGATTTTGTGTTGGCTTTGATAGATTTCACATAGCATGTTTATTGACTCGAATACTGACTCTCTTATTAGTTGGGCGGAAGATCATTGCATTTCATTTATTTATCCAATGACTGATTTTATTTTCGTATTAACATGTCAATTTATCTATATTTCACGTTGTTTTCGAAAAAAGAATGCTGTTTTTGAGAACCATGACTCGTAAAAGTTGTCCTTCTTACGTTACGGGACCCAGGAAAGCTCGATTTTCCGTTTTACTATTTGTTTTAAGCTTTTTTCGAATTAGTCATTCGACAGAGCAAAAAGGTCGTATTTATTGCGAAATTTTCAAGATTATAACTTACAAGGGCTCCATACCCCAGGCCGAGGACAAATGGAAGCGGCAAAAGGCGGTACTTTTGTGATTGCTATAAGTCGATCAAAAATCATTTAATCAGTTTGGAAGATGGCAGAAACAAACAAAGCAGACATATTTTATTCGATACATTTTCTCACAAAGTAAAATTAGATAATGATTAAACAGACATCATACAGAACGCAATATGATCCATATATTATCTGTAAGGACACTAAAACGTGTCCGATATGGTCCACAAAGTTTACAAACATGCTTCAGCAGGTATACTCTGCAAGCTGGAGCTACTAAAATAAAATTTGACCTTCCATGTGGCCCGGATCCCTCTACTACGAAAGCAGTTTGGGACAGAAACGACAAATATTATGTGAAATCGAGCAACATCCACGATTTCACATGATGCTCCAAGCAGAATATGCGAGGGCACTTAGATCGATTACACGAATCGAAAACTGAGTAGTCTGAATTGACGACGTCATTTGTTAACAATTCCCACTGCCATAAGAATCGGCATTGACAGACCATTGACAATGACCGAGTAGAAACTAAGAAACACAACATATGTGCCAGGGGCATTAAAACAAATTCGAGATCCATTGGTCGTCTGGATATCATACCATACATGTATATGTACACTGACAACGATCCAGAACAGAGCTGTTAGGAGGATGAGTCGCTTAGCCGTTGTTTTTGTTGAAAAATTTCTTCGTTGAACATTCGTCGAACTTGACATATATCGATCAATGTATGCCAGTAAGATGTAGGTTCGTGGTAACATTAAAAGCACGTCAACGAAATAAAATCGAAGTTTACAGAACAGTGATGAATACCCCGATGGATCAATTTGAAAACCGGTACTCATCCAACGAGTCAACGAAACCAAATTCAAGTAAAATAAGAATGTAAAAAGTTCTATTTTACAAAATGAAAATGCGAACAAAGGAGTAGGTGACACATATATCTAATCTGTAACACTACTGGAGGTTAAATTACCAGTACTGCCAGTTTGTGGCAGAAAAGTTAACGATTCATTCGAGTTGAGTTGCATTCTTTGAATAATGAGAC